ACACAAATCCTCCTTCCGTATACTGGGATGAACATTGAAAATCGCTAAAAACCCACTAAACTGATTCTAAGACAACGGACGTGTCAGAGAGTGCAGATCAGATCAATAGTTGAGCCAAGTTCATACGGCTCTCCCTGTGGACCCATATCTCAGTCTGACCTACAACTAGCTGTTGAACATATTCGAGGCAATGCTGTGCTACACCAACTGCCAAGCCAAACATAGCTGTTTGTGATTTTATAAGCGAATACATAAAAAGAAATATAGTTAATAGAATTAGGTCCAGAAAACCTTATCAGGCATTTTTTCTCTGGCCCAATGTATATGTAGAACTCTATAGCCTATATCTTCTGTAAAAATTCTTTTCGATCAAAAATGTTTCTGGATTATTAACGAAGTAACTTTATTTGGTACGTTCTAAAGGGGGGCATATTGAGAAGCTGTAAATGCTATGTAAAATACTTTATTGTTTATCACTAAATATAAAACTAACCTCATGTCTATATGATCATTATTTTTGAAATTATAAACCTATAAAACCGGATGATTCATTTTTAATCACGAATTTGAATTTATTTTATATGGGCTTTTCAATGGATATAACGAGGGGGAAATGTATTTCGTTACATAAAATACACTATGTTGACTACTTAGACGGAATAGTATAAAGCCCTTCTAATGGTTATATATTTATTCAACCATTGAGTAAATCCCACAATGTCAATGCAACCATTGAAGTGTTCTTAGTTTAATGTTTCATCGACAAATAACTTACTGAGCCAATTCAGTTTATCAGTAAACCTGAATTAGCTTGGATGTCAATGCAAATTCCATTAATTGTGAATTTGTTTGAATGACATAGTAATGTTAGTCGAAACTTGATTAGTTTGCAGGTTTGGACCACAGAGGCATTTTATTTTATTTTTGGGTGCTTACAGATATGAAACTGTATGTAAGCTAACACGAATAATATGGAAACGCAATTTGTATTTATTCTACCACATCATGATTCCTCATTCACTGAGTGGCACAATATTTTGGAGTAGTTACGGAATGTTCGCATTAAATATCTTTCTTCTATTGTGTAGCCTAGAACACTTCCCACAAATCCAGGTTGTAGGTATGGTACGTAAGATAAAGATAATAGCACAGTCTGTTTGAGAGGAACTGCCTAAATTTGCAAAACACAGCACGGTTACAAAGGACGTAAGTGTGTTGATTGTAGACAGGGTTGGTGCATAACACGGCTTGTCTGGTCGTTCTTGCATTATCTGTTTGGGATTTCTGTACATAAAATATAAATAAAAAATTTTAATAAACACTTGTATGATATATTTAACTACCGACACATAAACACATTTTCATAAGGAAGGTTTCATCAGAATTTTCCCCTCAATCATCGCAATCGATATTTTTCTTAGTAGGCTACATATATTTTTGAGTTAGATAAAGTATACTACTGTAATGTAAGATAGAATTCTAAAAAGAAAAAAAATACACTGTGGCATAATAATACAAAATATAAATGTTATTGACGGAACCGTAGAATAACAATCCATTAGATTATAAACATGAAATATAACATGTGTGCCCTGAAAACATACTAGTATTTTGAGAGCACAGATGAGTTATAAGTTACTCGCCACTTTACATTGCAACAGTCAACGCTGAGTGGTTTGAGATAAACCCAGATAGGAAGAACACTTTAAAGTGTTACACTGTGATTCGAGCTGATGGAATTCCTAGTGCATTCGATACTGACCTTCTTGTGTCTTATTTTTATTTAGTAGTTGTTGACTCATAACTTTGGAGGATCACTAAACCAAGCAAAGAACATAAAAAGCATGGTTTTCTATTAGGTCAGATCCTGCATTAAACCAACAATAACTTGGTGCGATCAAACTTCAGAGTAGTTTTTTGTTAATAATCAACTAGTTTAGTGAAAGAAAATTTAGCAAAGTAAATTTTTATTTACAAAAATTTTGCTTTTGAATACAAATAACATAGTTTCTGTTATTGAGAACATTTAGCTTTAAAGTTGAAGAGTGGTGCAAACATTTTTCTGTGAAGTAATAATCATAATAATATTGTCAAAAATGTATTCCCAAAAACATTATTGCAACAAAATCTATATGCTGCAGCAGTATCTTTACCCCTCCTACTCATTCAATCCACGTCAATGAATCGGTTGCTGGCAGTTTTTTCATATTCAAACGTATTTTATTCTATAAAAAAAACTCTATTGTTCAAGGGAATTGCACAAAAACTCAATAAAAGATGTGGATAAGGCTATAAAATATCAATATGTACCTGTTCTGCTCAAAATCAACAGACAAAGCAAACAATCACAAAACGGAAAACAATCCAGGCAATATATTAATTTCAAATAAAACTGGGACGAGCAATCGGGCCGTTGTATTGATAATTGCGCGGATGTTATCGCATGAGCAAGAATTTATCGGTTCAGCATGGTAGTCCGCCCAGTCCGCCCCCTCACAGCTACGCTAACTCTGCTTTATAGTACTACACAACATAACAGGACTTGTGCATTAATATCATCCTACCACCACCGCCGCACCTCGTCTCTGCAATGTCTTATTTCATCTCGCTTCTTTTAGCACTACATTCCATGTTGCGATATTCAGATTTAGAAGTTTTCATAAAATCTGACTTTTAATAGTAGGCTAAGTAAAAAAAGGTGTAAAACTATTACACAATATTATGATTCAATTCCTTATTGTGGTCAAATGCTTTAATGACAACTGAGTAGGAATAGAAAACGACATACAAATTTCATTTAGAAATTAAATAATAAATGAAAACCATATATTACAAACAGGCAATAACTGCCAAATATACCATGTTTAAAGTATTTTAGCTCACTAGCAGACAGAGAGACCAATCAACAGGCACTTCTCTGCATGCATATATCAGTTTTTAAGCCATCAATGTGTTATGTGAACACAGATAACGATAACTGTAACATAAGTAAGTCCGTGAGTAAGTAGTGAACAATCAAGACGAGAGAAGTATCAACAGGCACTACCCTGCGTGAATCAATCAATGCGTTAGATGTTAGGTGAACACGGATAACGATAACTGTAACATACACAAGTCCTGTGAGTGAGTAGTGAACAATCAAGACGAGAGAGTATCAACAGGAGCTACCCTGCGTGAAGCCATCAATGAGTTAAGCAATCAATGCGTTAGATGTTATGTGAACACAGATAACGATAACTGTAACATACACAAAGTCCTGTGAGTGACTAGTGAACAATCAAGACGAGAGAAGTATCAACAGGCACTACCCTGCGTGAATCAATCAATGCGTTAGATGTTAGGTGAACACAGATAACGATAACTGTAACATACACAAAGTCCTGTGAGTGACTAGTGAACAATCAAGACGAGAGAAGTATCAACAGGCGCTACCCTGCGTGAAGCAATCAATGAGTTAAGCAATCAATGCGTTAGATGTTATGTGAACACAGATAACGATAACTGTAACATACACAAAGTCCTGTGAGTGACTAGTGAACAATCAAGACGAGAGAAGTATCAACAGGCGCTACCCTGCGTGAAGCCATCAATGAGTTAAGCAATCAATGCGTTAGATGTTAAGTGAACACAGATAACGATAACTGTAACATACACAAGTCCTGTGAGTGACTAGTGAACAATCAAGACGAGAGAAGTATCAACAGGCGCTACCCTGCGTGAAGCCATCAATGAGTTAAGCAATCAATGCGTTAGATGTTAGGTGAACACAGATAACGATAACTGTAACATACACAAGTCCTGTGAGTGAGTAGTGAACAATCAAGACGAGAGAAGTATCAACAGGCGCTACCCTGCGTGAATTAATCAATGCGTTAGATGTTAGGTGAACACAGATAACGATAACTGTAACATACACAAAGTCCTGTGAGTGACTAGTGAACAATCAAGACGAGAGAAGTATCAACAGGCGCTACCCTGCGTGAAGCAATCAATGAGTTAAGCAATCAATGCGTTAGATGTTATGTGAACACAGATAACGATAACTGTAACATACACAAAGTCCTGTGAGTGACTAGTGAACAATCAAGACGAGAGAAGTATCAACAGGCGCTACCCTGCGTGAAGCCATCAATGAGTTAAGCAATCAATGCGTTAGATGTTAAGTGAACACAGATAACGATAACTGTAACATACACAAGTCCTGTGAGTGACTAATGAACAATCAAGACGAGAGAAGTATCAACAGGCGCTACCCTGCGTGAAGCCATCAATGAGTTAAGCAATCAATGCGTTAGATGTTAGGTGAACACAGATAACGATAACTGTAACATACACAAGTCCTGTGAGTGAGTAGTGAACAATCAAGACGAGAGAAGTATCAACAGGCGCTACCCTGCGTGAAGACATCAATGAGTTAAGCAATCAATGCGTTAGATGTTAGGTGAACACAGATAACGATAACTGTAACATAAGTAAGTCCTGTGAGTGAGTAGTGAACAATCAAGACGAGAGAAGTATCAACAGGCGCTACCCTGCGTGAAGACATCAATGAGTTAAGCAATCAATGCGTTAGATGTTAGGTGAACACAGATAACGATAACTGTAACATAAGTAAGTCCTGTGAGTGAGTAGTGAACAATCAAGACGAGAGAAGTATCAACAGGCGCTACCCTGCGTGAAGACATCAATGAGTTAATCAATCAATGCGTTAGATGTTAGGTGAACACAGATAACGATAACTGTAACATACACAAGTCCTGTGAGTGAGTAGTGAACAATCAAGACGAGAGAAGTATCAACAGGCGCTACCCTGCGTGAAGCCATCAATCTGACCAGTCTACAACGCTTTACAAACTTATTTTGTAAAAGGTATCAGTAATCTATCTTGGTCTGGAAACCTTTTCGAGTAAAATATCGTTTCAATAGTTAGGCCATGAATTTATAATATTTAATATGAACTGAGAGCTTTTATTTTTATACGTCTTTTTCTTTTGTTTCAGAGATTGCAGAGTAGTAAGAGATCCCCAGACATTAAAATCCAAAGGGTATGGATTCGTCTCATTTGTAAAAAAAGCGGTAAGTAACAGTTATTCAGGTTATGGTTTAAGTCTAAATGCATAAAAATTAAACTCAATTAAGGTAAAAAAAGCTACATAAGTAGGGGTTGACAACGGTCTAAAAATCTTTTTAGAGAGACGTATGCTAGAATATGCTGCTTACGAATCACACACGAAAACATTATATTCAGAAAACGCATCTTTCGAAAACTGAAATTTAGTTAACTGTTAAAGAAAGTAAGTGTAGGCCTAATCATGGAAATTTTTTAAGATATTTCTTAGTTTCTATATTTGATTACAAATTTTATATTTAATTTTTAGGTATACTCATTGAGTAGGCATGTCATGAGACCAATTAGTAATTCAATGCGGTTAGTGACCGCATTAGTTAGTGATTATCTTTCCTAGGATAATGGGAGAAATGTTTTTTTAATTAAGGATTAATATGAGATTTTATATTTAAAAGGAATCAAAAGTGGGTTGTCATCAATTCCGCTAGCTTTGTTGTCAATCAATATACCTCTCTCACTTCCTCACACACCACCTTAGGTATACCTATCCCACTCACACTCACACACTGCCATGGATAGTGCCACGTAAACCCGAACCCTCCCGTCCCCTTTCTCTGTCTTATTTTAGAGAAACTGCCGCCAAATACGACTCCCCTCTTTCACCTGACTTTTGAGGGAGGTTTTATGTTTTATAGAAGCTCTAAAGGAGATGGAAGTATTTTTCTGGCGCTGTTTAATACTTTTGTTTGGGGTAGTTTGAGCCTTGATCCAATTTATAACTTAATCATAGAAATAAACATTCTAATTTATTGAATATTACACAAACCCCATATTTCGATGCACCAAACAATAGTAAATATATTTATATTATATTTTATTTGGATTTATTTAGATAATGGAAGTTATTTAGATTTATATGAGTACAAGTATAAAGTTATACAAAAGAGTACAACCAAGCAAAAAATCTACAAATTTATTCCACTTTTTCAAAACATGAATTTTTGTAAAATATTTGCTGGAAATCCAATGTAAATTTAGGACTGATTTGATTTACTAACAATGAATTCAAAACTGTATGGATTATTTTGCACCTTAAGTTTATTATTTATCACCAGCATACTGTTATTTACATTTATAGCTATAGTATGTGCATCTGATAACAACCCAATACATGTTTAGTTTACTTATATCAGCACATACAAAGTTGACTACGATGTTAACCCACGTTTTGCACGCCGTATTAATGTAATTTACAGATATCTATACCTGGATTGGCCATATTCATAGGTTATATAATAACGTGCATGACTATTTCACATTAATCACATGTAGGCCTATGTTTTGTAATGTTGAGTTCTTTGAACCTCCATATTATGATTTGATTGTAGCTAAGGTGCGGATACGAGGGTTCCATTTGATTACGGTCAGGGCCAGGGCCATAAACAGTTCCATTCCTCGGGTCGAACAGCTTACTTTGCCCTACACTACTCCGTCTTTATGACTAATCTCGTTTTTGACATCGTCGAGTTTTCCTGTAAACAAGAAGTTTGTTTTGTGTTGTAAATACGGAATAGACTGAGAAGGACTTCTCTCGATGATAAATGGACGAGATTAGGTAAACCTTAAATTTGAAAACTGTTGACGTATTGTGTGTCCGATTGAAGGTTAAGTGTACACATTAACAGAACTGTAATTGTGTAAGTGAATAGTTGGGCGTGCCACTGGGCAGCGACACACGCACACCACCGAGCGTTCAATACAATACATCATATCGGTAGCTTGCTTGGACGAATATACATGCCTACTAACGTATAATCCGTGTGATAGGCTTGAACAAACAATAACCTACTCAAACGTACGTTGTTTTAGTATTATAATCATGTGTCGGTGAAATCTATGTGAAAGTATTCATTTATCAGTGTGCCCAGACTAATTATCTCTCAACTCGCAAGCCACTTTTCAACCGCCCATCTTGTTATACGATTTGTTAAACATTTATTAACAGTTTTTCCTAACAAATTTCACCCATTCGTGGGATTCATTTACAATTAAATATCAATGTGGGCCTTGAGAAAAATTACTATTCCTGAATTGAGTTTTATATTAAAAATTATTATAGCTTTATAATAATGTTGATAAGTGATTGTAGCTTTATGTATGCTGTATTATTCTTATTCTTGAAGTTAAATATTCTCCTAAAAATAGTTGATTGATACGATAATAAAGTATACAAATACCTACTTTTATTTCATAACAATAACTAATTTCTTGTCTAAGTTATTTAACATGTAAATTAAAAGTAATATAGAGAGCGACCGACACATTCACCTGTCCCTATACCGGTTGTCCCGTGTCAGTGCTGCTCCACCGGGCCTCGCCGTCCGTGAAATTGTTTTTCCTCTATACCCGCGGTGGAGTACGTAGGTTCGATGGTGAGCGGGCCAAGTCGTGACACCCCATCTCTCGGGAAGCAGTCTAATCAAAACTTGTTTTATGCCACGGTCATGTTCAAATGGTTGTTAAATGACATTTCAACAGCAAAACGAGCGAAACACCTCAAATCGTTTCTTTTTGGAAGTCAGTTCAACTTCCTCTTCATCTCACTAAGAACCTCTCAGTTTGAATCTCACTAAGAACCAACGTCCACTTTCACTTGTTCTGTAATTGCATTCAACGTGTAACTGTGCACTTAAATCCTTGAGAGAATTTATAAAAGGTTTTGTACTTCACACGATCCGTCTAGGCAATGCTGCACAACTCTTTCCATGTTGTCTTGATGTAATCATATCAAACACGAAATAAATTACATTTCACTACAAAGTAAATTTTTAATTCACTTCCACACCTAATACTCCATGCACAATATGAGAAAAACATAAGTACTCATCTGTATTTGCTTGATTGTGGCGTCATTAGCCTAAACGTAGAAATGGACGGGATTCCAACTATCAAGAATTGCTTGTAATCTCTCTTGAGCACCCATTATGAATAATCATAAAGTGATGAGAGAAAGCAACTACCATCCCTTGAAAATAATATATGAAACTCGATAGGCAACAGCTTTTCCTTTGACATACTGAACAAATAAATAGTATACTGTTATTTAGTTGCAAAGGAACACTGATTGTAAAAACCACAACAACTACAGTATATATCTTGATTTTTAAATTGATTTAATATTTAAACAAATTAAAACACCTACTTCTAGTTAGCATAAATAATGCTAATGTTTTCATTAAAAGTATTTAAATGAAACAAGTTTTCATTTGATTAATTTCTTCTTCAACACCTAGTGCTTAACCGGAACCTCCATTCTTATTCCCTACTTCTTATTTCTTGTATTTTTTTTACATATAGTTAGAAACGAGTTGTGTTAAAAACCAATTCTGAAAATCATATCAAAGCAAACCAAGCACTCAACCAATTTTACAATTCTATATTCATTGTACGATGACATTCTCAAAGTAACAAAAGAAGATACAAAACGTTAATTTCCACATAAGTCGCATCTCTAAACCGTGAATTGCTCCACGTTCGCAGTCGACTAGCCGCCAAAGGCCAAAGCTCCAATAACGAACATTGATTGTGCCATATTAATTCTTTTGTGAGCAGCTTGGAACAACCGCTGCGTAAATTGAGCCAATTACCTACATAAAGGGATAAATGTAACTAAATGTCGTCAGTTCATTGACTCGTGTTTCCTAATGCACCCAAGGTACGACTATCGCTAGACTGAGTTATTGGCTATCTATTGTAATTATTGATTTCATATATAAAGTCCTGTCCACACACCCTTCTAATACTCTTTGTCAGATATCAAAATATTTTCAGTACAAAATAAATCTAAAAATATTTCAAGAAAGGTAATAAAATACTACACAGTATAATTATAAAACGTACATTACTAAACACTATATTATTAATTTTAACAGACTAACGTAATACTTTGATAAAAAACATTATATTTCCTTCAAGCTGTTCATAAACTTAGGGTTGCAATTTCCCATCACCTGTTATTCAGTATAGACACTTCAATGTCGACAGCAGTATTGAACGCGACCAGTCCGAGTTGCCATGTTGTCCCTGGCCAGGGTTCTCGCAGGGGTTGACCGCGCTATTCATCGCCCTCAGGAAGAGGTTGTGGGCGTCGATTTATGTTTGCCACACTGTCCGATAGGTCTCACTATTTGAACACGCATCACCAGTCCCAGACTTAGCTCCTGTCGTCATATATTATCCTTCACGCTCCAGTTTTTATAACCATTGCCGGTAGTTAATCATTAATGTCGTTGTGTGTAATCATGTTATTTTGTTGTTTGTATTGAGACTAATTACTGTATTTCAAGCAATCCAATTATTTAATTTTTTTTTATATTTTACCAAGTTAGATAATCCAGTTCCCAGTATTCAATAGTATTTTATCCCTATTGCCTTTTATTTAAACCATTAGTTTTAGTACTACTCAAATTACAGTAATTTAAATTTTCTCATACATTACGTAGTTTTTTTTTGTCCTAGGACGCTAGGCACGAGCCTGGAATTGTTTTTCACATTACTTCAAGCTAAACCTGGGGGTTGCGGCATTATCACTAAGATAAAATCCATTGGTGACTTGGCAGGCATCGAACCCGGGACCTAATTTTGGTTCAAATACCAAAAAATAGAATACAGTTTACTGAACACTGTGGCTAATCTTAACATGACCTCATCAATGGTAGTATCGTCTAGAGCCAATATGATAGACATTGAAGTAAATCCCTGTTGAGTAAAGCCTCAAATTAAAGACCTTCACTAAAATGAAATATCACTGAAACTAGAGCTATGTTAACCCAGTACGACATTGGGCCATTTGAAAATGCATGAATGATTGAAACTCCAAAACAGATTTTTTTACTTTAATTATTTTTAAAGGGCAGACAGTTAAAGAAATGGGTCTGGCTGTCTGGAATAGAGAATAGATGCATTACATTGTAAGCCAAGAGGTTTGTGTTCACGAAATACTCCTCTT